TGCATGATAAACATGTTTGGTAAATCAACATACGTTACTATGGTAATAAAGTATTCAAAAGTAAAAAAAAAATTCATTGAATTTTATAAAGTCATACACATAAAAAGAAAAAAGCAATTATAGGATGAAATGTAAACAATTAATAGAAAAAGAGCCTTGAAACATATACCAAGAACAAAATATGATATTTCATTTTGGTTGGCAATGGTTGCCAAGGTTATTATACCACAGAGAGCCTTCAAAGTAACACTCTGTATGTTTAAATCTGATGCTATATTAAAAAAAACACATTTCCTCATAACTAATGATCAATTTTATAAGATGTTGGTCTGCTCCAAGTTTTCCCATTTGAAAAAATTCAGATTAGACTCTTTAAATAGAGCGTTGCTATGGAAATAAGCAGAAAATATATGCTTAAAAACCTGAAAAAATATTTTCTTTCCTTGGATACGTACCCTTAAATGTAGATTCCCAAAACTTTTATCATTGATATTTATTAACAGCTAACTTGACTTTTAATTTTGACTATCATCCAATATTTAAGTGGATGCAAGAAGCTGGCACACAGGGTTTAATATTGATATAAAGTTCACAAAATCGAACATTTTCCCTTCTTGTTAACCATAGCAACAGTGTTGTTTTATTTATCAAATTTTATCAATATATGATATTCAACTTCAGTTCTAACAGATAAGTACTATTCAAGCATTTTAAATGTATTCCAAATGTACTCTTGGTTACCACTTACTTAAAGATATATTCTAAACAGTTTCTTTACAGTATAAGTGACATCAAGGTGTCATGTTTTTGTGAGAATGGTTTGTTTGCTCTTTCTAGTTTTTATGAAGCCACAGTCAAGAGTTAAAGTGGCTGAAAATTTCGATTTTTAAAACTTTTCCGGCTGTTGCCATAGCAACCAAGACACATAGAAACGAAATTTTGTTTGATATTTGTTTCTGGTGTCAAGTACTAAGCATGGGTGAAGTTTCATCAAAATCGGTGACCATGCGTGGCAACGAAGTTTAAGTGGTTACAGAGAATGGCTATTAAATTCTAATACTCTGTAATTTGAGACCCTATTTTACATAACCCGTTTCCAATAGTTTGTGATGTCTCTGAAACATTATACTTTTGTAATTTTTTTCTCGTTTTACATTACGGAGCCTGTTTGTGTAATATAAAATATTGCATATTTTTTACATGATGAAGACAACGTCGAACCTTCAAATGTGTAATGTAATGTTATATAATGCTTTCCTTTCACGGAAAATAAATTATTTGGTGTCATCTTTTTTTTTAATTTTGCTATTTTTCCTTTATTTTTTCACCAGGTGTAATTATAGACTGTTTTGTAATATACCTGTTTCCAATACTTAGTGATGTCCTCGGTAGTAACAATATGGATTTTCTCTTCTTTACAGGAAGGACACTGAAAAGTTGCTCGAGAAAACTCTGATTCACTTAGGACAGCACTCTCTCTGCTGTCACAAAATCCAACAGGTTTACATTTGAACGCAACATGGAATTCAGAATTTTCCTGGAATGTGTTAGAAATATCTTGTAACACATTCTCGATTCTTACTCTTATTTTGTGGCATATAGAAACATCAGCTTCTCCTTCTACAACGAACACCTGCAGCTGAATTTCTGTCTGGGTCATTCCGATCAGAACGTTATGGTAGCGGTCCTGAAACATGAACTTAGCCGCAGTCTGGTATATGCATCCACGGTCTTCAAAGGAAAACATCTTCGAAGTATTCTGCATGCATGTAGCTACAAGGCGATGAAATATTCCAGCAGGAAGAACATCAAACGTGTAGCAGAGGATGGATGAGGCGGGGTGTGATGAAAACGCACTAATGGGAAATGCTTTTTTGTTCATACATGGAACGTACCAATTTTTGTCATCCACTTTAGCCAAGAGCCCCAGCTTCTCCATGTACAGCATGATCTCATCTTTGTGTTCAAGGTATTCATTATTGTTCATTTTCCAAATCCTGCATAGCAAAATGTCACTCAATTCTCCAGTGTCATCAAATTGGTCCCACTCCGATGTAAACTCTAATAAATCCTCATTTGCATGGTTTTTATCAGTAATTACATTTTTGAATGCATCTGCAAACCACTGAACATCTAGGATGATTACTTCTCTCAGAAATTCTTGATTGAAAAACAAGATTTCTCTGATGTCATGGAAAAACTGCAGCATGGTATTGATATCTTCAACTATCTCCAATTTAATATCCTGTGGTAGTGCTTCATTGAAAGCCAAAAGTACTCTTTTATTGATTATTTTAAGGTATTTCTTCTCCTGGAAGAAGTTTTCAAACATAGCCCAGGAATGTGGAAGCACTTCACCCCAGTGATCAAGTTTCTGAACAACATCAACAATTGACAGCTTGATTTTTTCAATGCCTTCATTTTCGTTGAATCCTATGGCAAACCCTCTCTTCCTGAAAAGATGCCCCTGCAAAGACTTGGTTTTTGTTTCCAAAGTCTTCCATATCTCACGGAAAAATTCCACTTTTTCCTAATAAGAAAGATATTTTTGAAAGTATATAAGTAATACGATAAAAAATAAAAAAGGACATCACTTCCTCCCTTCATGCATATGTTCAACTAAAAAGATAATATAGTGAAAGAAAGTAAATAAAAGTAAATGTTCTATGGGCAAGCTGAAGAAGTGGCACCCCTTCTCATTTTCTTATTTCTCAAATACAATGATTTTTTTACTTAAAAATATAAAGGCAATGCAAGGTTTACTTTTCTATCAAAAAGCAAACATGCTGAAGATCATATCACTTCATCAGTAATCTCTGGCCTTAAAACTCATGATAAAATTTAAACTACTATGTTTTAATTTGTTAGAAAAGTTGGAGAGGACATGAAATAAAGTTTGTCCATCAATGACCTTGAACTTGTATCTGGGACTGTTTTAATGTTTTCAATTTATTCATAAATTCTTTACTTATTTTTGTGTGAAGGGTAAACATCTAACCTCTTTCTGATAAAATGTAATTGCCATAAAATAATTTTTTCTCTTGTGAATTGAATTTTCTAACTTGTCAAAGACCTAGATGATATCTTCTCTTAATTTGAACAATGGGTCAAAAAACAAATTTGAACAAGGATGCTTTAGATTGGGATTCGGCAGGAATCTGGGCGAAATTGAAAAGTGAAAATTCTATCGACGTTTATCATGAAATTTTAACATTTTTATAATTGATCAGGTTCCTGTGCAACTGGAGAGGAAAATATTTTCCCGAAATTGAGCTTTGTTTTGCTAAAAAATAACTTGAAAATTGACCAGATCAGACATTTGGTACAAAATGGTACATTTTTAACTACGTTTTTCTAAGATTTTTCTATCTCTGGGTCTTCTCTCCATGATTTTAAAACGTTATCTATGTGTATTTTAATCGAGAGGAACGAATACACATTTTAAAAAAATTCAGAGAAGACCCAGAGACCACCAAAAATGAACTATTCCCCCCAAAAAATCCAAATGTGTGAATGTGGTGCTTCTTTGCCCCTTTTAAATCATCTTTAAATGTGTAGCGGTGATTGCTCTGTAAGTAGCGCTACGTGTTCAGTGCGCTCAAAGTGAGAAGTTTTTGGTTCAAGCCTGGCATTGGGTGTTAATTTTTTTTTTCATGCAAACAACCATTTATTTTGTCAGTTTCGTTTTATGTACTGATGTATTAAAATTTTGATTTAGATAAATTTTGGTTCAGTTTGGTTCTCGAGCGAAAATCAAATCCAATCTTCTATTCTATAATGTACACAAACACGTATCATGCATCTATGAATTAAATATTTTATAGGTGTTTATTTTTTGTGAAACATTACTATGTTATAGTACCTCCTAGGAAAAACGGACATAAATGTTACAATCTCACAAAGTCTTTCCAACTAAATGAAAAAAAACCTTACGGACGTGTTTGTAAAATCTGACCAACAATATTCAGCCAACCGAATCATGGACATTAAAAACCATAAATGTTTCGTACAAATGATTCCTGCAGATCACACGCCTAATACGCCCATCTTCTTTAATAAACATTGTTTGAAGTCTGAAATTTCATTTTTTTCCATTTAGAGTGTCAGTATTTTTTCTGTCAGTGGCCTTGAACTTTACAATACACAATCCAGTCAACCTTTTCGATCAACCTTACGATAGCAATGTCCCAATTTTACAGAGTTTTTGACAGAGGCCTTCAACTTTTCTGACCCTTGGTCAATGTTCATGAGAAATTCTCAAATTATAACGAATCTCTGGTTCAAATGTGTGTTACGTATGTTTCTTCCTTAGACAGAATGACGAACTGATGTCCCCATAGTAACCAAACTTTATTTGCAGGAGTTATTAGAAAGTTTCTTTTTTCATAAAAACAAGGCCTATAAACCTGTAAAGTTCACAATGAAGTCCTTTTTTGTAATTTTTCACCAAAATATTCTTGAAATACCTGATGTGTCTTTTGTTCAGCATGAGTGCCAACCAGTATAATGGGAGCCTTTTCGCTGCTGTATTGGTGAATGGATTTTGCCCAAAATGTAAGATAGTCTGAGAAAGATAAACATTCATGTTAGTGCTAGACTTTTTGTACATTAAACGTTTATTCCTCGTGATTAACACATTCTTTGCTACAGATATTTTTTACTTTTAGACGTTAACTTTTGAGTCTTACTCACTTTGATAGTTAAGTTAAGCCATAAGTTTGAATGGTTGGAGCTAGAGCTTTCATATGATTCGTGTATTTTTTGTTACAAGACCTTTCATTGCAAACCAACAATTTGACTCTTTTACCTTGAAGTTTGGCCCACTTTTGGTAATAGGGTTTAAATGATTGGTGCCCGGGCTCTTATCTTTCACATATAATTTTCTTGTTACAAGGCCTTCATTTGCGTATCAATAATTCTTACTTTTTGACCAAGAAGTTGATCTACTTTAAAAAATACCTTAGCTATTCCCTTTGAATGTTTTTTTCGGTAATTCATATTTCACATATCTATTTCTTGTAACAAGTCCCCGTTCTATATATATTGAACGCTCGCCTTCTGAAAGTTTCTGGCATATTCATCATTTATGTAGTAAAAGTCAGCGTCCAATAAAACGCAAAAATATTGAACGTTAATCATAGATTTTTGTAGTTTTTTATCATAAAGAATATTTATTAGCTTTATAATAAATTATATTTGCCATGAACTACGAAAAGGGCATCAGTGTTTCACAAACAAATCTTCTTTTAACCGCTTTCAATGTTTTTTGTACAAATACAAACCTCTGTGGGTGTATCCTTTGTAAATGGAACGTTCCTGGCTACACACGTCCTCTCCTACCATTTCATCAAAGTTTTTCTCCATATTGAACACCAAAATGAAGAATGCTCGTGGACTCAGAAAAATCTGGTGCGAGGAATAATATGAACATTGCCCTGCAAAGTCAACCATACTAATTTTTTTCTCTGGTTCACTCTTTTTTTGTTTAGAAACTCGTATAATCCCCAAACTTTCTGAAATCTTAGCAACAGTTTGAGTTTCATCAACTTTATCCTCTGTCTTTTCTAAAAATTGAGCAGCGACTTCGTCTCCTTTGAGTGACTCGTTTTTTGTGTTCATGCTGTCATGTGGCATCTCTTCTTCATTAGCGGCCTCGCTAGCAGTGTCTTCTTCATTATCTCCTTGGTCATCAATATCCAGCGATTTCATCTTATTGGATATTTCTTTATGAGGTTCCGGAACCCTTTGATTTTTACTTGTTTCATCAATTCTAACCTTAAAGCGTTGTTTTTGGTCTGATGTATTTACTGTAAGAAATATATAAATTAATAAAAATCAGTTATGAAACCAAATTATTGAACACCCCCCCCACCCCCCCCCCCCAAAAACAAAGTTGCACTATACGCATTTAATACTAAGTTTGGTCACATTATGTGTATTCATTCAAAGTACTACATGAACTTACACCATTAATATTGTGTCAATAAAATTTACATGATGATAATGGAAACGAGAGTTTTAAATTATGCTATATAGTACGAAGCCCGTTGGCCACATATATAACCTGAGCACTACGGCTAGGAAAAAAATTATAAAAAAGTTTAGTATTTATAGCTTTTCATGGTCCCGAACTATCGGGGTGGAAGTGGGTATGATTCGAACAAATGCAATCTACAATAACTAAGGATGCTTGCATATTTCTCCGACTAATTGTGACTTTTCCACCTTTTTGTTTGAACTTTCATTGTAGTCCAACCTACCCCTTGGTGTCATGATTTGAAGAAATCGGAATCTACGCGACCTTTACAAGGTCAAAATCCAGTCAGAAAGGATGCTTGCATATAAATATGATCAATCATGCCTATAATATTCTGAGAAGTCGAGTAGAATAACATGATATCATGGTGGGGGATTATTTGAAAAAACAAAAAGAATTCAACACGAGAGTACTTCCTAATCAATATGACTAATAATGGCATTTCTGTTCTTGAGAACAAGATTTTTAAAGCATGCCACCATATGTTCACTACTTCTTAATTATCTCCCCTTGAATGTGTAAGTTGCTCTTCATTTGAACAAACATGACTTTCCTTTAACAAGAGATTCTTTCTGGCAAGTTGTGAATGTTTTTAGTCTATATTAAAAACAAACATTTACGTTCAGAAAAAGGGGGTATGTTTCCATTTATTCCCCACCCAAAATTATATATTTTCCTAACATTATGCTAACCTGAGTGGGATTCGGCTGCTTCCCAAAACTATTTGTATCAATTTAAAATTTCTAAATCTACTTTAAGGCCAATGTACAATAAATAAATCCTTATAATCACCTGGAAAGGTCACGTGCTGGTTGATATAAGGATTTATTTTCGCCGTACTTTTGGACCTCGGCCAGTCAGCTAGCAATTATCCAGTCGAATAATAAACATATTGTAACAAAAAAAACCCTTATCCCAAAATAAGGGTTTTGACAGAGTCTTCATCAGAGGTGAATCAACATTTACAAATATTGATTTAAAATTGAAACAATACCTTCGATGGTTTTTGACACATCAAAGACGTCGGTCTGGATATCAATTCCCCTGGTGGATCTTGTATTATTCAGAATATCATCCAAGTCGATGCCTTTTAATCTTCCAAGTAACGTTGTTTTCCCACTGCCTGCACATCCTATCAACATCCCAGTGGCGTGGTACATCGTTGTCTTTCCTTTCTTGAGATTTTCAAGGAAATTCTTCACTGAATCATCACCTCTCATTATGACCTGCATTGGTATGCCAACTGAAAATAGAGTAGTCATTGCTTTATTACTTTGTGAAGGGTATACCTTTACTCTAGACATACACCTAGTCTTTAAGATTGCGTTAAATTGTATTTGTATTTTATTTTAAGACAATGTAAGGAGACTCAAACGGGTATAAAAGATATAACAGAGTTTTTTCTTAAACTTCAATTTCATTTTTCCCTAGGTATTTACAGATTTAGAAGAAACTACAGGTATATGGAAACAAACTCGGATTACACATAGATTATATCATACGTATTTTCAAGATGATAAAGAAAAAATACTAATTTTCTTATTCGATAAAAAACGTTTGACAAGGCAAATATGAGTCTAGAGGTACTGTGAGTGAGCTCATAACAAAATACCCCCAACTGCAATTTTTTAAAGTGCTCATTCAAATTTCTTGTAAAGGTGACGTAAACCAAGACCTTCAAAAAAAGATGACAATCTTCAGGTCATTAGAAATGTAAAATATGAACATCAAGTGTAAATTATGCACCTGTCAATTTTATTTTTACTTTTTTACCAGTGACAGTAAATTTAGTGGAATGATATAAGATCAAGATCTTGACACACCCTTAGGTCACCAAGTATGAGCACCCAATGACTCTTCATTACATAGGTATTAATTACATAAACTAGAATTTTATTTTTTTTCTGCTAGTGACCTTGAACTTGTTAGTATGGCCATGTGTTAAAGTCATTACACACCCTCAACTCATTTCCAGTGTGTTGTGGAAGTCTTAAATGTCTTGCTAATAACCTTAATAGAAATCTCTTTGGCGATAAAGTCCATGAGAATCTAAGTCCCACACATTTTGAAAACATGACGTTATATGTCCGACAGTCAAATGATTTGAACATTTGTTTCGTATGATTCACGACTGAGCACTTCAGAATGCAGGGAAAAAATCGAAATGAAATGTTTAGAGATTCCTGTCAAATTCCAATTATAATGCAATTCAGAAAGATATATCAGAATTTAAAGAAAATGTTGGCTAATTGGAAGCTTAAGGTCTCAAAAAATGTTGATACAAAGTTAGTTCCTCTTTCTAAATTTTATCAGCATGTACATTCAGCAAAATATCTATGGTACACATCAAAAACTTGCTTGATTAGAAATCCGGTTCAAACATATTGAAAAAAGTAGTTAATTGTGGGCTATTTTTATTTGTAAGTTAAGGTAATCCGATCCTAAGGTTTATTAATTAAGTAATCGAAAATATTAACGAAATAATGTTAATTTACCCATAGAATTCCTTTTAAATAAATCATTAAAGTCAATCATTTTATACATGTAAAAGTAAAATTGTCAAATCTCCGATATATTTATAAATTTGAAGATTGGAGTGAGAGACAGAGAAAATGATTACCCCTACCCAAACTTAGCTTTAAAAAGAGAAACATACGATTTCTAAATGCAACTTCATGTATTGAAGGGTCTTGCCATGTTGGATGCGTGAAAATGTCCTCTCCGAGTTTCTCTATCAACTGTTCCGTTTGTTGTGGCGATAACCAGCAGAAGACTTCACCCTCTTTCTTTGGATAGGCCCACGATCTGCAGTACTCAGATGTGTTTTCTTTTTCTACAGATGTCAGAAAAATCTCCACAAATTTTGGATCTTTTGCAAATCTAAGAAAAGTGGTGTTTTTGAAGAATTCACAGCTAAATGTGACCTCTGGACCATCTTGCTTAAGTACTGGATTGTACTCATTCATTTTGCTAAAATCAGATGGCTTCTCAATTTTGTTGAATTTTAAAACTTCAGCCAAAGCATTATACTTTTTGATCCATTTCTCTTCTTCAAGATTTATTTTGTAGTTCTGGCAAAGAAGAAGGCACATCAAAACTGTATCTTTATCTACGAAGAGATACACACAAAAGAGATAAACTATTAAACTATTTTTTCCTAATTATTATCTTTTGCAAGAATGAAGGAATATGAATTAGCAAAGGAAAATTAGAACAGGAATTTTAAAATTTTAACGTCTTTCATACAAACAAAAAAGATTGGATTGTTTTTTTTTGGGGGGGGGGGGACATGTGCTTCTCACCCATTGGCAATAAAATAAATTACTTGTGTATAATTAAAAATTATAAGAACTTTCTCTATTATGGCCCAACCAGCACCCAAAGTCACAATTTGATTAAAATTGAACATATACATTCTCAAGATAATTCTTTGTTAATAAAATAAATTATGTATTTTTTTGGCTGGAATTGGGGGTTAAATAGGGGAAATGATGTGTCAAAATTTTCTTTTATAGATTTTATTCTATGTCCCATTTTAACGTAGAACCTACGTCGTATGACATCATAACTAGTGAATGTGTTTAGCCTGTGCTTGATCCATTATGACGTCATAATTAATTCAATGTCACTTTTTCCCGTACTTTACAGCATCAATAGAAATGGTAAAAAAATGCTGCATTTTGAAATTCACACAATTTAAAATCATGCCGAAATAATCTTAATCCAATTTTTTTTTTTTTTTTTTTTGGTAAAAATGCTAATGACAATATAATTCTGTAGGCACCTTTCATCTACTAGATCTTGGCCTTAATAAAGTTGACAAATCCAAGATTATCCCGTGTCATGAAATTACAATGTACATTGCATACAACTGTAAAAATGTGAATGATATGTAACTACATGCATTTTGAAGGAAGGAAAAATCCTAAGAAATCTTCAGTTGCCAACTAAATAGTATTAAATCGTGATGAAATGTGTCCAAGTCAAAGATGTACGTGTTGTAGATAGTGTGATTATGTGTTCATTTTTTGTGATATCTATCATGAAATGATGTGGATTCCTTTTCATAATTATTTGTAACTTATTCATATTCTTGGTGTTTGATTACAATTTTTCTATTAAATATGATCCTTTTGAATTAATAGTACAATTTAAGATACCTGGTAAACATTTTTAATCTGAAAGTAACCCCAAACAGTCATTTAATAATTAAATCCCGTGTAAGTGCAAAAAGGTCAAGAATATTAGGATCGGTAAATTACCTATCTCTCATTAATTAAGGGAAAAGGTATATATTTTAATCATTTTTTTAATCATTTGGGTATTTTCTTCATCATATTAAAGTTTGAAAACATTGTGACAAAGACTTCTGAGAAATATTGGCAAATTTAGGGTCGAAAATTGACTAAAAAGAATAGAGTTCATTTGCCTATATTTTCTAAGATGTGGACTTATCCTTTATGTCGATGAAATAAAAAAAGAATTTTATTATTGAGAAATATTGTTTAATACTGTTCAGTTAATAAAGCCAACGAACTAAGATGTTTAAAAAAGTATTTTTGAGAAATTTCATATTCTCTTTATGACAAGTGACTGAAAATGTCTAGTCGCAGTATGTAAATACCATTCCATGTTTCACTGGCTGCACTACATTTAATAACACGGAAACATGTCTTGTGCTTTTGACTGATTGATAAGCGAGTGCTAATTTATCATTTTGAAAAGTTTGAAAATCTTGTGACAAAGACTTTTCCGACATAGGTTCTACATTAAATTGTAACACACCTTTCTTCTTGTGAAATTCATGATACAATTTCTCAACATCTCTAACGTCATGCCTTTTATGATCACTAGAGGTCGTGATACAGATCTCACACAGGGCAGTCTCACACGGGACACAGAACTGGGACAAAGTACCACTGGGATGCTCCTCACACTTCATCTTCTCCATAGGGAGACCTGTAAATTCATAAGAAACATGAAAGGTACACAGAGATAGATATCTGTTTTGAGGTTTTTGCTTCTTAAACTTATATGTCAGTTTATCCACCATGAGATCTGCTAAAATGAAAAGCATTCAGAAAGATTTTTTTTAAATATAAAATCCTCCTTAAACATTAAATATGAAAAAAATCAAAGATATACCAATTCAAATAGTCTCAAAAGTTTAAATGAGATTTAGAGGTAAGTTTTGAGACTATTTCAATTGGTATATCTTTGAAACTAATTGTCCGTTTCTAATGCTATTCATGTTAAATTTTAACATATTATTAAGATTTTGACTTTAGTTTCCCTGATCAAAATTTGAGTTCAATGTTTTACAAAGCACAAGAAAAATGAAAGCAAATGTAATAGTTATGTGCGTAAATTATTCCGAATTTTGTTCTTGCGCCGACAGACCAAATCGGCCTTCATATAAATCGTCCTAATATATTATTGATATGAAAGATATATATTTAAGAATTCACAGTTTTAAGGAACAATGAATATATTATGTTTATGCAAAATTTGGTTAGTATTGACTTTAAGTGATGACTTCTATAGAAATCATAAACACAATACAACAGTATAACTTACCTGTCAGAGAGTCTCCATAAATAAGTCTATAGAAGTCATAAACACAATACAACAGTATAACTTACCAGTCAGAGAGTCTCCATAAATATGTCTACAGAAGTCATCAACGCAATACAACGGTATAACTTACCGGTCAGAGAGTCCCCATAAATAAGTCTATAGAAGTCATAAACACAATACAACAGTATAACTTACCAGTCAGAGAGTCTCCATAAATATGTCTATAGAAGTCATAAACGCAATACAACAGTATAACTTACCGGTCAGAGAGTCCCCATAAATAAGTCTATAGAAGTCATAAACACAATACAACAGTATAACTTACCGGTCAGAGAGTCTCCATAAATAAGTTTATAGAAGTCATAAACACAATACAACAGTATAACTTACCAGTCAGAGAGTCCCCATAAATAAGTCTATAGAAGTGATAAACACAATACAACAGTATAACTTACCAGTCAGAGAGTCTCCATAAATAAGTCTATAGAAGTCATAAACACAATAGAACAGTATAACTTACCAGTCAGAGAGTCCCCATAAATAAGTCTATAGAAGTCATCAACGCAATACAACGGTATAACTTACCGGTCAGAGAGTCCCCATAAATAAGTCTATAGAAGTCATAAACACAATACAACAGTATAACTTACCAGTCAGAGAGTCTCCATAAATAAGTCTATAGAAGTCATAAACACAATACAACAGTATAACTTACCAGTCAGAGAGTCCCCATAAATAAGTCTAAAGAAGTCATAAACACAATACAACAGTATAACTTACCGGAGAGTCAGAAATAAGTCTAAACACATAAATAAGTCAGAGAGCCCCCATAAATAAGTCTATAGAAGTCATAAACACAATACAACAGTATAACTTACCAGTCAGAGAGTCCCCATAAATAAGTCTATAGAAGTCATAAACACAATACAACAGTATAACTTACCAGTCAGAGAGTCTCCATAAATAAGTCTATAGAAGTCATAAACACAATACAACAGTATAACTTACCTGTCAGAGAGTCCCCATAAATAAGTCTATAGAAGTCATAAACACAATACAACAGTATAACTTACCAGTCAGAGAGTCTCCATAAATAAGTCTATAGAAGTCATAACCACAATACAACAGTATAACTTACCTGTCAGAGAGTCTCCATAAATAAGTCTATAGAAGTCATAACCACAATACAACAATATAACTTACCAGTCAGAGAGTCCCCATAAATAAGTCTATAGAAGTCATAACCACAATACAACAGTATAACTTACCAGTCAGAGAGTCTCCATAAATAAGTCTATAGAAGTCATAACCACAATACAACAGTATAACTTACCAGTCAGAGAGTCTCCATAAATAAGTCTATAGAAGTCATAAACACAATACAACAGTATAACTTACCAGTCAGAGAGTCTCCATAAATAAGTCTATAGAAGTCATAAACACAATACAACAGTATAACTTACCAGTCAGAGAGTCTCCATAAATAAGTCTATAGAAGTCATAAACACAATACAACAGTATAACTTACCAGTCAGAGAGTCTCCATAAATAAGTCTATAGAAGTCATAACCACAATACAACAGTATAACTTACCAGTCAGAGAGTCTCCATCAATAAGTCTGTAGAAGTCATAAACACAATACAACAGTATAACTTACCTGTCAGAGAGTCACCATAAATAAGTCTATAGATGTCATAAACACAATACAACAGTATAACTTACCAGTCAGAGAGTCACCATAAATAAGTCTATAGAAGTCATAAACACAATACAACAGTATAACTTACCAGTCAGAGAGTCTCCATAAATAAGTCTTTAGAAGTCATAAACACAAAACAACAGTATAACTTACCAGTCAGAGAGTCTCCATAAATAAGTCTATAGAAGTCATAAACACAATACAACAGTATAACTTACCAGTCAGAGAGTCTCCATAAATAAGTCTATAGAAGTCATAAACACAATACAACAGTATAACTTACCAGTCAGAGAGTCTCCATAAATAAGTCTATAGAAGTCATAAACACAATACAACAGTATAACTTACCTGTCAGTCAGAGAGTCTCCATAAATCATTCTATAGAAGTCATAAACACAATACAACAGTATAACTTACCAGTCAGAGAGTCTCCATAAATAAGTCTATAGAAGTCATAAACACAATACAACAGTATAAATAAGTCTATAGAAGTCATAAACACAATACAACAGTATAACTTACCTGTCAGAGAGTCTCCATTAATAAGTCTATAAAAGTCATAAACACAATACAACAGTATAACTCACCAGTCAGAGAGTCTCCATAAATAAGTCTATAGAAGTCATAAACACAATACAACAGTATAACTTACCAGTCAGAGAGTCTCCATAAATAAGTCTATAGAAGTCATAAACACAATACAACAGTATAACTTACCAGTCAGAGAGTCATAAATAAGTCTAGAGTCATAAACACAATACAACAGTATAACTTACCATAGAGAGTCTCCATAAATAAGTCTATAGAAGTCATAAACACAAAACAACAGTATAACTTACCAGTCAGAGAGTCTCCATAAATAAGTCTATAGAAGTCATAAACACAATACAACAGTATAACTTACCAGTCAGAGAGTCTCCATAAATAAGTCTATAGAAGTCATAAACACAATACAACAGTATAACTTACCTGTCAGAGAGTCTCCATAAATAAGTCTATAGAAGTCATAAACACAATACAACAGTATAACTTACCAGTCAGAGAGTCTCCATTAATAAGTCTATAGAAGTCATAAACACAATACAACAGTATAACTTACCTGTCAGAGAGTCTCCATAAATAAGTCTATAGAAGTCATAAACACAATACAACAGTATAACTTACCAGTCAGAGAGTCTCCATAAATAAGTCTATAGAAGTCATAACCACAATACAACAGCATAACTTACCAGTCATAGAGTCTCCATAAATAAATCTATAGAAGTCATAAACACAATACAACAGTATAACTTACCAGTCAGAAAGTCGCCGATACGTCTACAGAAGTCAAAAGTACATAACAACAGTACAACTTACCAGTGAGAGAGTCTATAGAACTCATAAACACAATTCAACAGTATAACTTACCAGTCACAGAGCCCCCATAAATAAGTCTATAGAAGTCATTAACACAATACAACAGTATAACTTACCAGTCAGAGAGTCTCCATAAATAAGTCTATAGAAGTCATAAACACAATACAACAGTATAACACAATTACTTACCAGTCAGAGAGTCTCCATAAATAAGTCTATAGAAGTCATAAACACAATACATACTTAACAGTATAAATAAGTCTATACATAAACACAATACAACAGTATAACTTACCAGTCAGAGAGTCTCCATAAATAAGTCTATAGAAGTCATAAACACAATACAACAGTATAACTCACCCATAAATCAGAGAGTAACTATAGAAGTCATAAACACAATACAACAGTATAACTTACCAGTCACAGAGTCTCCATTAATAAGTCTATAGAAGTCATAAACACAATACAACAGTATAACTTACTAGTCAGAGAGTCTCCATAAATAAGTCTATAGAAGTCATAAACACAATACAACAGTATAACTTACCAGTCAGAGAGTCTCCATAATTAAGTCTATAGAAGTCATAAACACAATACAACAGTATAACTGTCAGAGAGTCTCCATAAATAAGTCTATAGAAGTCATTAACACAATACAACAGTATAACTTACCAGTCAGAGAGTCTCCATAAATAAGTCTATAGAAGTCATAAACACAATACAACAGTATACTTCACCGGTCATAGAGTCCCCATAAATAAGTCTATAGAAGTCATAAACACAATACAACAGTATAACTTACCAGTCAGAGAGTCTCCATAAATAAGTCTATAGAAGTCATAAACACAATACAACAGTATAACTTACCTGTCAGAGAGTCTCCATAAATAAGTCTATAGAAGTCATAAACACAATACAACAGTATAACTTACCAGTCAGAGAGTCTCCATAAATAAGTCTATAAAAGTCATAAACACAATACAACAGTATAACTTACCTGTCAGAGAGTCTCCATAAATAAGTCTATAGAAGTCATAAACACAATACAACAGTATAACTTACCAGTCAGAGAGTCTCCATAAATAAGTCTATAGAAGTCATAAACACAATACAACAGTATAACTTACCAGTCAGAGAGTCTCCATAAATAAGTCTATAGAAGTCATAAACACAATACAACAGTATAACTTACCAGTCAGAGAGTCTCCATAAATAAGTCTATAGAAGTCATAAACACAATACAACAGTATAACTTACCAGTCAGAGAGTCTCCATAAATAAGTCTATAGAAGTCATAAACACAATACAACAGTATAACTTACCAGTCAGAGAGTCTCCATAAATAAGTCTATAGAAGTCATAAACACAATACAACAGTATAACTCTCTATAGAAGTCATAAACACAATACAACAATATAACTTACCAGTCAGAGAGTCACCATAAATAAGTCTGTAGAAGTCATAAACACAATACAACAGTATAACTTACCAGTCAGAGAGTCTCCATCAATAAGTCTATAGAAGTCATAAACACAATACAACAGTATAACTTACCAGTCAGAGATTCTCCATAAATAAGTCTATAGAAGTCATAAACACAATACAACAGTATAACTTACCAGTCAGAGAGTCTCCATAAATAAGTCTATAGAAGTCATAAACACAAAACAACAGTATAACTTACCAGTCAGAGAGTCTCCATAAATAAGTCTATAGAAGTCATAAACACAATACAACAGTATAACTTACCAGTCAGAAGTCTCCATAAATAAGAAGTCATAAACACAATACAACAGTATAACTTACCAGTCAGAGAGTCTCCATAAATAAGTCTATAGAAGTCATAAACACAATACAACAGTATAACTTACCCATGTCATAGAGTCACAATACAACAGTATAACTTACCATAAATAAGTCTATAGAAGTCATAAACACAATACAACAGTATAACTTACCAGTCAGAGAGTCTCCATAAATAAGTCTATAGAAGTCATAAACACAATACAACAGTATAACTTACCAGTCAGAGAGTCTCCATAAATAAGTCTATAGAAGTCATAAACACAATACAACAGTATAACTTACCAGTCTCTCCATAAAGTCTATAGAAGTCATAAACACAATACAACAGTATAACTTACTAGTCAGAGAGTCTCCATAAATAAGTCTATAGAAGTCATAAACACAATACAACAGTATAACTTACCAGTCAGAGAATATCCATAAATAAGTCTATAGAAGTCATAAACACAATACAACAGTATAACTTACCAGTCAGAGAGTCTCACATAAATAAGTCTATAGAAGTCATAAACACAATACAACAGTATAACTTACCAGTCAGAGAGTCTCCATAAATAAGTCTATAGAAGTCATAAACACAATACAACAGTATAACTTACTAGTCAGAGAGTCTCCATCAATAAGTCTATAGAAGTCATAAACACAATACAACAGTATAACTTACCAGTCAGAGAGTCTCCATAAATAAGTCTATAGAAGTCATAAACACAATACAACAGTATAACTTACCAGTCAGAGAGTCTCCATAAATAAGTCTATAGAAGTCATAAACACAATACAACAGTATAACTTACCAGTCAGAGAGTCTCCATAAATAAGTCTATAGAAGTCATAAACACAATACAACAGTATAACTTACCAGTCAGAGAGTCTCCATAAATAAGTCTATAGAAGTCATAAACACAATACAACAGTATAACTTACCAGTCAGAGAGTCTCCATAAATAAGTCTATAGAAGTCATAAACACAATACAACAGTATAACTTACCTGTCAGAGAGTCTCCATAAATAAGTCTATAGAAGTCATAAACACAATACAACAGTATAACTTACCAGTCAGAGAGTCTCCATTAATAAGTCTATAAAGTCTAAACACAATACAACAGTATAACTTACCAGTCAGAGAGTCTCCAGAGAAGTCTCCATACAACAGTAAACTTACCAGTCTCATAAACACAATACAACAGTCTATAAGAAGTCATAAACACAATACAACAGTATAACTTACCTGTCAGAGAGTCTCCATAAATAAGTCTATAGAAGTCATAAACACAATACAACAGTATAACTTACCTGTCAGAGAGTCTCCATTAATAAGTCTATAAAAGTCATAAACACAATACAACAGTATAACTCACCAGTCAGAGAGTCATAAACTCATATATAATAAGTCTATAGAAGTCATAAACACAATACAACAGTATAACTTACCAGTCAGAGAGTCTCCATAAATAAGTCTATAGAAGTCATAAACACAATACAACAGTATAACTTACCAGTCAGAGAGTCTCCATAAATAAGTCTATAGAAGACATAAACACAATACAACAGTATCACTTACCAGTCAAAGAGTCTCCATAAGTAAGTCTATAGAAGTCATAAACACAATACAACAGTATAACTTACCAGTCAGAGAATATCCATAAATAAGTCTATAGAAGTCATAAACATAATACAACAGTATAACTTACCTGTCAGAGAGTCTCCATAAATAAGCCTATAGAAGTCATAAACACAATACAACAGTATAACTTACCAGTCACAGCGTCTCCATAAATAAGTCTATAGAAGTCATAAACACAATACAACAGTATAACTTACCTGTCAGAGAGTCTCCATAAATAAGTCTATAGAAGTCATAAACACAATACAGCAGTATAACTTACCAGTCAGAGAGTCTGTAGAAGTCATAAACACAATACAATAAACTTACCAGTCAGAGAGTCTATAGAACTCATAAACACAAAACAACAGTATAACTTACCAGTCAGAGAGTCTCCATAAATAAGTCTATAGAAGTCATAAACACAATACAACAGTATAACTTACCTGTCAGAGAGTCTCCATAAATAAGTCTATAGAAGTCATAAACACAATACAACAGTATAACTTACCTGTCAGAGAGTCTCCATAAATAAGTCTATAGAAGTCATAAACACAATAACACAATACATAAACACAATACAACAGTATAACTTACCTGTCAGAGAGTCTCCATAAATAAGTCTATAGAAGTCATAAACACAATACAACAGTATAACTTACTAGTCAGAGAGTCTCCATCAATAAGTCTATAGAAGTCATAAACACAATACAACAGTATAACTTACCAGTCAGAGAGTCTCCATAAATAAGTCTATAGAAGTCATAAACACAATACAACAGTATAACTTACCTGTCAGAGAGTCTCCATAAATAAGTCTATAGAAGTCATAAACACAATACAACAGTATAACTTACCAGTCAGAGAGTCTCCATAAATAAGTCTATAGAAGTCATAAACACAATACAACAGTATAACTTACCTGTCAGAGAGTCTCCATAAATAAGTCTATAGAAGTCATAAACACAATACAACAGTATAACTTACTAGTCAGAGAGTCTCCATCAATAAGTCTATAGAAGTCATAAACACAATACAACAGTATAACTTACCAGTCAGAGAGTCAATCCATAAATAAGTCTATAGAAGTCATAAACACAATACAACAGTATAACTTACCGGTCAGAGAGTCTCCATAAATAAGTCTATAGAAGTCATAAACACAATACAACAGTATAACTTACCAGTCAGAGAGTCTCCATAAATAAGTCTATAGAAGTCATAAACACAATACAACAGTATAACTTACCTGTCAGAGAGTCTCCATAAATAAGTCTATAGAAGTCATAAACACAATACAACAGTATAACTTACCAGTCAAGAGAGTCTCCATAGATAAGAGAGTCTCCATAAGTAAGTCTATAGAAGTCATAAACACAATACAACAGTATAACTTACCAGTCAGAGAATATCCATAAATAAGTCTATAGAAGTCATAAACATAATACAACAGTATAAATTACCAGTCAGAGAATATCCATAAATAAGTCTATAGAAGTCATAAACACAATACATCAGTATAACTTACCGGTCAGAGAGTCTCCATAAATAAGTCTATAGAAGTCATAAACACAATACAACAGTATAACTTACCAGTCAGAGAGTCATAAACCATAAATAAGTCTATAGAGAGAGTCTCCATAGTCATAAACACAATACAACAGTATAACTTACCAGTCAGAGAGTCTCCATAAATAAGTCCATAGAAGTCATAAACACAATAGAACAGTATAACTTACCAGTCAGAGAGTCTATAGAACTCATAAACACAAAACAACAGTATAACTTACCAGTCAGAGAGTCTCCATAAATAAGTCTATAGAAGTCATAAACACAATACAACAGTATAACTTACCAGTCAGAGAGTCTCCATAGATATGTCTATAGAAGTCATAAACGCAATACAACAGTATAACTTACCTGTCAGAGAGTCTCCATAAATAAGTCTATAGAAGTCATAAACACAATACAACAGTATAACTTACCAGTCAGAGCGTCTCCATAAATAAGTCTATAAAAGTCATTAACACAATACAACAGTATAACTTACTAGTCAGAGAGTCTCCATCAATAAGTCTGTAGAAGTCATAAACACAATACAACAGTATAACTTACCAGTCAGAGAGTCTACATAAATAAGTCTATAGAAGTCATAAACACAATACAACAGTATAACTTACCAGTCAGAGAGTCTCCATAAATATGTCTATAGAAGTCATAAACACAATACAACAGTATAACTTACCAGTCAGAGAGTCTCCATAAATAAGTCTATAGAAGTCATAAACACAATACAACAGTATAACTTACCAGTCAGAGAGTCTCCATAAATAAGTCTATAGAAGTCATAAACTCAATACAACAGTATAACTTACCAGTCAGAGAGTCTCCATAAATAAGTCTTTAGAAGTCATAAACACAATACAACAGTATAACTCACCAGTCAGAGAGTCTCCATAAGTAAGTCTATAGAAGTCATAAACACAATACAACAGTATAACTTACCAGTCAGAGAGTCTCCATAAATAAGTCTATAGAAGTCATAAACACAATACAACAGTATAACTCACCAGTCAGAGAGTCTCCATAAATAAGTCTATAGAAGTCATAAACACAATACAACAGTATAACTCACCAGTCAGAGAGTCTCCATAAATAAGTCTATAGAAGTCATAACCACAATACAACAGTATAACTTACCAGTCAGAGAGTCTCCATAAATAAGTCTAGAGAAGTCATAAACACAATACAACAGTTTAACTCACCAGTCAGAGAGTCTCCATAAATAAGTCTATAGAAGTCATAAACACAATACAACAGTATAACTTACCAGTCAGAGAGTCTCCATAAATAAGTCTATAGAAGTCATAAACACAATAGAACAGTATAACTCACCAGTCAGAGAGTCTCCATAAATAAGTCTATAGAAGTCATAAACACAATACAACAGTATAACTCACCAGTCAGAGAGTCTCCATTAATAAGTCTATAGAAGTCATAAACACAATACAACAGTATAACTTACCAGTCAGAGAGTCTCCATAAATAAGTCTATAGAAGTCATAAACACAATAGAACAGTATAACTCACCAGTCAGAGAGTCTCCATAAATAAGTCTATAGAAGTCATAAACACAATACAACAGTATAACTTACCTGTCACAGAGTCCCCATAAATAAGTCTATAGAAGTCATAACCACAATACAACAGTATCACTTACCTGTCAGAGAGTCTCCATAAATAAGTCTATAGAAGTCATAAACACAATACAACAGTATAACTTACCTGTTAGAGAGTCCCCATAAATAAGTCTATAGAAGTCATAAACACAATACAACAGTATAACTTACCAGTCAGAGAGTCCCCATAAATAAGTCTATAGATGTCATAAACACAATACAACAGTATAACTTACCAGTCAGAGAGTCTCCATAAATAAGTCTATAGAAGTCATAACCACAATACAACAGTATAACTTACCAGTCAGAGAGTCTCCATAAATAAGTCTATAGAAGTCATAAACACATTACAACAGTATAACTTACCAGTCAGAGAGTCTCCATAAATAAGTCTATAGAAGTCATAAACACAATACAACAGTATAACTTACCAGTCAGAGAGTCTCCATAAATAAGTCTTTAGAAGTCATAAACACAATACAACAGTATAACTTACCAGTCACAGAGTCCCCATAAAAAGTCTATAGAAGTCATAAACACAATACAACAGTATAACTTACCGGTCAGAGAGTCTCCATAAGTAAGTCTATAGAAGACATGAACACAATACAACAGTATAACTTACCTGTCAGAGAGTCACCATAAATAAGTCTATAGAAGACATAAACACAATACAACAGTATAACTTACCTGTCATAGAGTCCCCATAAATAAGTCTATAGAAGTCATAAACACAATACAACAGTATAACTTACCGGTCAGAGAGTCTCCATAAATAAGTCTATAGAAGTCATAAACACAATACAACAGTATAACTTACCAGTCAGAGAGTCTACATAAATAAGTCTATAGAAGTCATAAACACAATACAACAGTATAACTTACCGGTCATTGAGTCTCCATAAGTAAGTCTATAGAAGTCATAAACACAATACAACAGTATAACTTACCAGTCAGAGAGTCTCCATAAATAAGTCTATAGAAGACATAAACACAATACAACAGTATAACTTACCTGTCACAGAGTCCCCATAAATAAGTCTTTAGAAGTCATAAACACAATACAACAGTATAACTTACCAGTCACAGAGTCCCCATAAAAAGTCTATAGAAGTCAATAACACAATACAACAGTATAACTTACCGGTCAGAGAGTCTCCATAAGTAAGTCTATAGAAGACATAAACACAATACAACAGTATAACTTACCAGTCAGAGAGTCTCCATAAGTAAGTCTATAGAAGACATAAACACAATACAACAGTATAACTTACCAGTCAGAGAGTTTCCATGAATAAGTCATTAGAAGTCATAAACACAATATAACAGTATAACTTACCAGTCAGAGAGTCTCCATCAATAAGTCTGAAGAAGTCATAAACACAATACAACAGTATAACTTACCTGTCAGAGAGTCACCATAAATAAGTCTATAGAAGTCATAAACACAATACAACAGTATAACTTACCAGTCAGAGAGTCTATAGAAGTCCATAAATAAGTCTATAGAAGTCATAAACACAATACAACAGTATAACTTACCAGTCAGAGAGTCTCCATAAATAAGTCTTTAGAAGTCATAAACACAAAACAACACTATAAATTACCAGTCACAGCGTCTCCATAAATAAGTCTATAGATGTCATAAACACAATACAACAGTATAACTTACCAGTCAGAGAGTAACCATAAATAAGTCTATAGAAGTCATAAACACAATACAACAGTATAACTTACCAGTCAGAGAGTCTCCATAAATAAGTCTATAGAAGTCATAAACACACAATACAACAGTCTATAACTTACCAGTCTTACCAGTCAGAGAGTCTCCATAAATAAGTCTATAGAAGTCATAAACACAATACAGTATAACTCACCAGTCAGAGAGTCTCCATAAATAAGTCTATAGAAGTCATAAACACAATACAACAGTATAACTCACCAGTCAGTCTCCATAAATAAACAGTATAACTATATAAATAAACACAATACAACAGTATAACTCACCAGTCAGAGAGTCTCCATAAATAAGTCTATAGAAGTCATAAACACAATACAACAGTATATACAACAGTATAAAGTCTAACCACAATACAACAGTATCACTTACCAGTCAAAGAGTCTCCATAAGTAAGTCTATAGAAGTCATAAACACAATACAACAGTATAACTTACCTGTCAGAGAGTAGTCAGAGAGTCATAAACACAATACAACAGTATAAATAAGTCTATAGAAGTCATAAACACAATACAACAGTATAACTTACCAGTCAGAGAGTCTCCATAAATAAGAGAAGTCATAACCACAATACAACAGTAAACTTACCAGTCTATAAATAAGTCTATAGTCATAAACACAATACAACAGTATAACTTACCAGTCAGAGAGTCTCCATAAATAAGTCTATAGAAGTCATAAACACAATACAACAGTATAACTAAGTCTATCATAAACACAATACAACAGTATAACTTACCAGAAGTCATAAACACAATACAACAGTATAACTTACCTGTCAGAGAGTCTCCATAAATAAGTCTATAGAAGTCATAAACACAATACAACAGTATAACTTACCAGAGAGTAATAGAAGTCATAAACACACAATCATAAACACAATACAACAGTATAACTTACCAGTCATAAGTAGAGTCTCCATAAATAAGTCTATAAAAGTCATAAACACAATACAACAGTATAACTTACCAGTCACAGAGTCCCCATAAATAAGTCTTTAGAAGTCATAAACACAATACAACAGTATAACTTACCAGTCACAGAGTATAAAAAGTCTCAATAACACAATACAACAGTATAACTTACCGGTCAGTCAGAGAGTAAACACAATACAACATAAATAAGTCTATAGAAGTCATAAACACAATACAACAGTATAACTTACCAGTCAGAGAGTCAGACCAGTCACAGAGATAAATAAGTCTAGAAGTCATAACACAATACAACAGTATAACTTACCAGTCATAGAGTCTCCATAAATAAATCTATAGAAGTCATAAACACAATACAACAGTATAACTTACCAGTCAGAAAGTCGCCATAAATAAGTCTATAGAAGTCATAAACACAATACAAAAGTATAACTTACAAGTTAGAGAGTCTCCATAAATAAGTCTATAGAAGTCATAAACACAATACAACAGTATAACTTACCAGTCATAAATAAGTCTAGAGTCATAAACCATAAACAGTAAGTCTATAAAAGTCATAAACACAATACAACAGTATAACTCACCAGTCAGAGAGTCTCCATAAATAAGTCTATAGAAGTCATAACCACAATACAACAGTATAACTAACCAGTCAGAGAGTCTCCATTAATAAGTCTATAGAAGTCATAAACGCAATACAACAGTATAACTCTAAGTCATAACCACAATACAACAGTATAACTTACCGGTCATAGAGTCTCCATAAATAAGTCTATAGAAGTCATAAACACAATACAACAGTATAACTTACCAGTCACAGAGTCCCCATAATAAGTCTATTGAAGTCATAAACACAATACAACAGTATAACTAACCGGTCAGAGAGTCCCCATAAATAAGTCTATAGAAGTCATAAACACAATACAACAGTATAACTTACCAGTCAGAGAGTCTCCATAATAAGTCTATAGAAGTCATAAAAACAATACAACAGTATAACTTACCAGTCACAGAGTCCCCATAAATAAGTCTACAGAAGTCATAAACACAATACAACAATATAACTTACCAGTCAGAAAGTCACCATAAATAAGTCTGTAGAAGTCATAAACACAATACAACAGTATAACTAACCGGTCAGAGAGTCCCCATAAATAAGTCTATAGAAGTCATTAACACAATACAACAGTATAACTTACCAGTCACAGAGTCCCCATAATAAGTCTATTGAAGTCATAAACACAATACAACAGTATAACTTACCTGTCAGAGAGTCTCCATAAATAAGTCTATAGAAGTTTTAAACACAATACAGCAGTATAACTTACCGTTCAAAGAGTCTACATAAATAAGTCTATAGAAGTCATAAACACAATACAACAGTAGAAGTTACCAGTCAGAGAGTCCCCATAAATAAGTCTATAGAAGTCATAAACACAATACAACAGTATAACTTACCAGTCACAGAGTCCCCATAATAAGTCTATTGAAATCATAAACACAATACAACAGTATAACTTACCAGTCAGAGAGTCCCCATAAATATGTCTATAGAAGTCATTTACACAATACAACAGTAGAACTTACCAATCAGAGAGTCTACATAAATAAGTCCATAGAAGTCATAAACACAATACAACAGTATAACTTACCAGTCAGAGAGTCTCCATAATAAGTCTATTGAAGTCATAAACACAATAGAACAGTATAACTCACCAGTCAGAGAGTCTCCATAAATAAGTCTATAGAAGTCATAAACACAATACAACAGTATAACTCACCAGTCAGAGAGTCCCCATAAATAAGTCTATAGAAGTCATCAACACAATACAACAGTATAACTTACCAGTCAGAGAGTCACCATAATAAGTCTATTGAAGTCATAAACACAATACAACAGTATAACTAACCGGTCAGAGAGTCCCCATAATAAGTCTATTGAAGTCATAAACACAATACAACAGTATAACTAACGGGTCAGAGAGTCCCCATAAATAAGTCTATAGAAGTCATAAACACAATACAACAGTAGAACTTACCAGTCACAGAGTCCCCATAAATAAGTCTATAGAAGTCATCAACACAATACAACAGTATAACTTACCAGTCAGAGAGTCTCCATAAATAAGTCTATAGAAGATATAAACACAATACAACAGCATTACTTACCGAACAGAGAGTCTTCATAAATAAGTCTATAAATGTTCACTGTGTTGTCGTCGTATGATCCGACCCAGAGTAACTGAGTTCTGTCATCATAACTCAGACCGCATGGTGAGTGCATCCAGTGTTGTTCTGACAGGACACCGTCCCTGTCCAGGATCAGTATTCCGGGGTTGTTGGGCTGAAAATTACACACTAGGATGTGTGATAGCGCGTCAGTACAGATTCCACGTGGGTATAGTTTTAATCGTTGTATAGGATTTGTGTAGGAGAATCGGTATCTTCCTTTACTGTTCGTCACTACAATAGGACCACTGAGATATTTAGACACAATAACATCTCCGTTGCGGTTCTCTGTGATGTATATAAGTCTTCTATGCTGTATTGGACCTGTGTTGTCGTACTGTATGGTCTGTATGTGTTGTCCCGTGTTAGTGTAACGGTTTACATGGCCTGTGTCTGTATCAGTATTATACATCCCGACCAGCAGGTCTCCAGTGGAGGGGGAGCTGTAGACACACAGTGGTCTCCATGGTGCTGTGTTGTATGGTATTAATACAGTCTTTACTGTGTTATCTTTAGACAGTTTGTTGATGTCACAATGAATGTCTATATAAATTAAATCGCCGTCACTTGTCACAGTGTGTATTCCACCAATATATTTAGTTATATCTGTAACACGCTGTAGTTCTTCACCTGCTGTATTTGTCAAGACGAGATTGTTATACCAATCACTGATCCAGACCCGGTCTGAACATACATGTGATATGTGCCATACACACCTAACGCCAGTCACTCTGAAAGATTTCTGTAACACTAATCTAGGCATTATTTACAGCAGACATCAATTTTGTCTTTTTCCTGTAGTTTCTATGCATAATAAAATCCCGTGTTGATTTCCTCAGTCAAGGAGATTTCTCTGTAAACAACAACATTCTGTAATTATTATCTACATCAACAACTGGCCTTTCTTTATAATTTAATGTTTTAGATGCGAGGCCGGGGCATTTCAAAAGTTCTGAGAACTGTTTAATAAAAACTTTACCGTTTCACGGTGTATATTTTTTCTGTTCTTTCAAATGATATCATACTCAATAATTTCATTGAAACGGTTAAGTTTTTGAAATGCCCCTCTAAATAATTTTATATAGCACATGAAAATATTATTTGATGTCTCAGAATGAGTCACTGTACACTTTATTTAAGGAATGAAGCTAATTTCAACTTAGGGCAGGAGTGCCCCAAGGATCTATCTTAGGTCCCCTGTTATTTTTATTGTATATAAATGATCTTCCTTTACATGTAAATAGAACAGATATTGATATGTTTGCTGATGATGCAACCTTACATACATATCATAAAAATATAGAACGTATTGAGAATGCTCTAAACTTTGATTTGAATGAAATTGAAAATTGGTGTTCCAAAAATCAAATGGTGTTAAATACCAACAAGACAAATTGTATGCTTATGGGAACTCAACAAAGAAAATCAAGAATAAATTCCCCTGAATTAAATCTATATGCTTCAAACAAATTAATTGAAAATGTTAAATCTGAAAAACTTTTGGGAGTACATATTGATCATTCATTGCGCTATAATTACCATATTGACTCAGTTTGTAAATCTTTGACTTATAAATTGTATACATTACGCAGAATTAAAAAATTTCTCCCCTTACACACGAGGAAACTATTTTATAATGCATACATTCTGCCTTCATTGAATTATTGTCTAACTATTTGGGGTAATGCACCAGTTGCTGGCATAGATAGAGTTTTTAAATTACAAAAAAGGGCAGCCCGGATTATACTAGATGTGGCTTATGATGCCCCTTCTCTGCCATTATTTGAAAAACTTGGATGGCTGACCATATATGAGTTAATTGACTTTCATAAATATGTATTACTGTACAAAACACTTCAATGTATGGCACCCACTTATTTAAGAGACTCCTTTAAATTTATTTCTTCTAATAGTTATGTTCTACGATCTGAAACAAACTGTGACCTTCAACTACCGAAATATCGAACAAATCAATTTAAAAATTCTTTTCATTATTCCGGTGTTCATTTAAGGAACAAAATACCTTTGCATATACGTTTTTTACCAACTGTACAAACATTTCGTTAGAATGTAGAAAAGTTTATTATAACATGCCGCAACTAAAAGAAATATAATTACATGTCCTAAAATTGATCTTTATATGTAATTATATTTGTACGTCATATTGTGTTATTTATTATAATATTGAACAATGTTTTTTTTTATAATTGTATTATTGTGAATGTGTTTAGAGGGCCCCGAGGAAGACTAGTGCATTGCACTAATCGGGTTACCCTCTTTAAATAAAGTATTATTATTATTATATTATTATTTTTTTTATTTTATTATTATTATTATTATTATTATTATTATTATTATTATTATTATTATTATTATGGTATCCGATATAACATAACTTTGGGCAGTTTACGCTTTATAAACCGCGAAGCGTTTTATAAGAAAGCGTAAACTGAGCCAAGTTTTGTTATATCGGATAACATAAGTTGAAATTAGCTTCATTCCTTATAATTTAATTTCAGTGTAGACAATGAGACAATATTTCCTCCGGAAAAGGGCTTCAAATTGAGCATTATTTTAAAATAATGTCAAGCGGAGTAATATGTTTTTGACGTAACTCATTGTGACGTAGGCAAGTTATGTTATACAAAATGTTTTATGTTCCTCTGAGTGATTCAGCAAATAAAATTGCCTGATACAAGTGACATTAAATTATATATATATATATATTTGTTTTAATATTACATGGGTCTCTTTACACTGTATAAATTAACCCAACCCCAACCCTCACCTCCCTAAATAAGATTCTGAAGTTTGGGGACTTCTGATTGATTTATTTAAGTGCATTTTTTTTCTTTGATATTGTAAATGTGTCCGGTCTTTTTTTCAAATATAGATTAAGAATTCCAATACTTAAAGAAACGTTATGATTATTTCTGGCTAATTTTACAATTTATTTTGGAATGTTTGTAACATATGTATCATAGTTTGCTTAGGGCTATTCCAGGAAAAATATGTGTCGTTTAATTAAGTCGAATATTAAGATATATAAAATCAAATTTTATGTTCTTTTATTCAAATAATTTTGTACTTCATACGAGTATTGGCTTTTGGCCTCTCTATCAAGAGCAGGATTTCTGAGACACATTAAAGAATTGTGCTTCTTATCCGCAGGTTTTTGATACACACTATTAAAATCCTTAGTCTGATCTGTAAATGTTTAAACTCATGACATTGTAATCTGTAAACGTAAAGTAAAACTAATATATAAGACATGGTATTTCTACAGTGCTGCTATCCCACAAGTTGACATGGGATGGGATCGGATAGGATTCAGGATTGAGGATTCACGATAGAAACATATAGAAGTTAATCCAATCCTATCCTATCCTATCCTATCCTGTATCCTACAGCCAATCAGATTCGAGCAAAGGTTTATTCATATTTCAGAATAAATTACAAAAACGAAATACGATATAAAATGTTTACAAAAGAAATATTTATATTTTTTTCAATAGAAAAAAAAAAACATTCTTTTCTTTTTAACACATATTCACATTATAAACTTCGAGTAACACGGCGTACGATCTAACCGTGAACGATCACCGGAAGAAATGGGAATGTAAACAACGAAGAATCCAGCATCGAAAGACCGTATTTCTTCAGCTTGTTTGGATGATTTAACCGATTCTTACTTGTGTAAAAGTGTAATAACATGTTTTTCTGTTAAATATGCTCTGTTTGTTTGGATAATTCAACAGGAACCGTCAACAGCGGACTTGAATAGATGATGTGCGATATCATGTAAGTATACTTCACACTGTACACTGTACATGTGTGTATTTTTATACATATTTATCCCTTTAAACAATGTTCTCATGTTTTAAACTATAAACATTTTATTCTATTTAATATAAACAAAAATTGGGTGCGGAAAAAAGAAGTAGTGTAGACGGAAGCGGGGTGGGGGTGGGGGGGGGGATAATATACAATTAATCAGAATTTGTCAATTTTATTGAAAGAATGTAAGGTTTCTCAGATATATTGGATAATTCCTATTCCGAATCCAAGTCTTCTGTTTCAAAATGTTCTGTGCGAAACTGTAAAACCTGTGACATCTTGATAACTAACACTTCTTTCACCAGTAATCTTACTGGACAGAGCTACTAGACCAAACTTGAAATCTGCACTGCAAATCGTCTTATGTTGTCTATGGAATAGAATGTAATCAGTGTGGACTTGTTTATGTCGGTGAAACCAAGGGATCGCTTAACAAAAAAATAACAGGTCATCGATTTCAAATAAACCATGGTGGTCAGCATCTTTTATACAAACATTTTGATTTACCCGATCATTCTATTTTATCAATGAAAGTTAGAATTCTCGAAAAGATTTATCATCACACTAATAGTCCGTCGCTGAGTAAACCTTTACGTAGACAACGAGAAGAATTTTGGATTAGAAAACTAGGGACAGCCTTTCCCTATAAATGTAATGACAATGTCGATAGTGTTGGAAATCTAATAATGTAAATGTGATGGGACTTTTTAACCATACTCGGAGTCGTAAGCGTAGTCATGGGCATCGTTCGTACAATAAACCTGCAATACACGACGTCTCTTTTGACTCATTACTACCTCAGGTTAATTAACAGTTAGGTCTACATCACATTCGAACAAAACTCTGTCCCTTTGAAATTTTTAAAAAGTCTTCTTGAAAAGGCCAAGGAACATCCAATTTTAGATTCCTCGTCACCTGAAAATAGGCTCGGATCTGTGATTATGGATATTGCGTATCATAAGCTTTTTAAACCCGAACGTTTCACGGAAGAAAATGCAGCTAAAACAATCAGTCTTTTCCATAAACTTCAATGTGCCAATACAGGAATTGACGCGATTAATATAAGTAATGTTCTTAATCACAAAAGGGTCCAGTCTTGTATTCCATAATATTTCAAGTTAAAGACTACACAATGTATTTCCTACAAATATACATCGACCATTGCTTTCAAACTTTTCAATTACAAAAACACTTTACATGGCCTGGATACCGACTGTCTGAAACATAATTCTCCTTCGAGTTCATGTTCTTCTTCGCCCTATAACTATAATCCTGCTGGACACGTAATTACAGGTGAAGTAAAAACAGTTCGTAATGAGGACCTTAGATCAATTATTTTAAAAGGTCCTAAATATTGGGAACCCCGATCCTTCAACTAGCGTCGGAGTTTAATGAATATTATGGATTCTATTGAAAATTACGCCAGACGATGGACCAGATATGAAAAAGAACACATTAACACCTTGACAGAATGGATTAAATGTATTAGATCCATGTTAAAGTCACGTATTAAAAGATTGAGGGGCAATATGAAAACCATCTATCCTTCTGTGTTCAATAAACCAAAAGTGAAAAAAGAATCAGATATATTACACGATCAGTACGTACTGGTCCCTGCCGACAATGCAGATTGTAAGGCTCATTATATTAATTGCATTCTAGAAGAACTTGGATTTAATTCTACAAGTGGTAACCCTACTTATACTCATACTTCCCTTTCTAAGGAAGAAATTCTTCAAAATCACCTGTCAGTTTTGAATACTTTTAATATTCCACAGAGCCAAAATGAATTTGAACTACCTTATATATATATTGGATTCCGAAACTTCATAAGAATCCTTACAAACAAAGATACATTGCAGGTTCCAGTAAATGTTCAACCAAGCCTCTTTCGTTACTCCTCACTAACAAATTGACAGTAGTGAA